CAGATCTGCAAGCACTTTATCCTCCTTTAAAACACATTTATACAGATGTGCTTTCACAGGAGTTGTTTTATGAGTGGACTTTTACTTCGTTTGATGGCAGTATCAAGGGCAGTACTTTTTATCTTCTGTTTTATTCCTTCTTTTATTGTCTTTTAATTGTCTTCTTTTACTGGTTTTATTTTTCTTATATATTCTTATATTGTTTTATTGTCTTTCATGCTTTATGTGTTTCACCTTCACCATTTTTTATTTTTTTTATTTTTACTCCTTTTAATGTTGTTTAATGTTGTTGTTCTTACACTTCTCTTTGAATCTGTACAGCACTTTGTAACCCTGTTTTGAAAAGTGCTATATAAATAAAGTTTATTATTATTATTATTGTATCCCATCCCTTTTTTCTGTCACCTACACCCTATAGTGTCATGTTTGTCTTGCACAATTAAAAAAAAAAAAAAAAAAAAAAAATCCCTATATCCTTAGAGTAACATTTACACTGACTTCGTGGCTTCTAAAAATGTTTATCTCTGGTGCAGTATCGACAAAGGCAGTGAAGTGCATGGTGACATTGCTATAAAGTAGAATGCCCTGTCTGCAAACTCCTTGCATTCATCATTCATTCTGCTTCACGACAGCATTCCAACTCCCATCCATTGTACCAGGCGTTACCGACACTCCCTGTGCATACCATCAGCCTCTGAAAAACAGCTGTTCCTGTTTATCTTTCTATTAGTGCTGAACCCTCCCCCAAGGCAAAAATATCTTGCTGATAAGCATGCAAACAAATTTCATAGAAGTGATCGTCCATATCATGATCACAGCCTGAAAAATGTCAACATATATATATATAAATCCAAATGGATCGAAAAATGGATCTACAACATGTGTGTTTTTTGAGGGATACTAAATTAAACTGTGTAAGATATCAGAACCTATAAACTTAAGCGCATATACTGTAGTGTAGCAGCTGTTGTGTGACATCTTGTGGTCAGTTGTTGGTATTACACATAACANTAGATGAATTAGCTCTGAGTCAGTCCAGTACAACCTGGTATATGAACATCTCTTACCCATTTATACATTAATTATAATAATCCAATAATATGACATAAAATAACATAAAATCAGAGAGAGGGCCGGTCCTTCTCCTTCATCTGTCAGGCCAGCTTTCACCATCAACGCAGCAGACACATGGGTCAACCCACGAAAAGCGACAGGACCGGACAACATCCCAGGACGTTTGCTCAGAGTCTGCGCTGATGAGCTGGCAGATGTACTGACTGACATTTTCAACATCTCCCTCAGTCAGGTCATTGTCCCCAGATGCTTCAAAACATCCACCAAAGTTCCAGTGACAAAGAGATCAGTTGTAGCCTGTCTGAATGACTGTCGCCCCATCGCACTGATGGTAATGAAGTGTTTCGAACGGCTCGTCAAACCACATATCACAGCCAGCCTTCCTGCATCACTTGACCCCCTTCAGTTCACTTACTGTCCCAACACAGAGGATGCAATATCCACCACCTTGCACTCAGTCATCACCCACCTGGAAAATAAAGACACCTACGCTAGATTCCTGTACATTTACGTTTAATACCATCATCCCCCAGAGACTAGTAGAGAAACTCCTCCTGCTCGGCCTGGATGCCGCCACATGTCTCTGGGTCCTGGACTTTCTGACCGAAAGACCCCAGTCTGTCCGAGTCAGAGAGATCTCTAACTCCATCATGCTGAGCACTGGATCTCCTCAAGGCTGTGTACTCAGTCCACTGGTGTTTACACTGCTGACACTCGACTGTACAGCCACACATGAGGGGATCCAGATCATCAAGTTTGCTGAGATGAAGTGAAACACCTAGAGGGAAGAACAACCTGCTGCTCAATGTGGACAAAACGAAGGAGATGATCATGGACTTCCGGAGGTCACGTCCTGAGCATGCTCCCCTCAGCATCAGCGGCTGCACAGTGGAGAGAGTGGAGAACATCAGGTTCCTCAGACTGCAGATCTCACAGGACCTGAGCTGGAATAAGAACAACCCAGTGATCATCAAACAGTCCCAGCAGAGACTGCATTTCATGAGGAAGCTGAAACAAGCCTCTCTCCCTGCCAGCATCCTCAGGACTTTTTACAGAGGTGTGATGGAGAGCGTTCTGACATACTGCATCTGTCACGGGATAACTAGGCTGGTTGACCCAAATGCAGAAATGACACTCAGGAGAGATGGAATCCAAAAATAAGGTTTATTGTAGAAATTGATATAGTAAAGATGAGAAAGAAAACGAGGCGGGGGTGTTACCGGTAGGGAGTAAATTGTCCAGGAAGCCACGGAGAAGGCTCGGGTTTGGTGCAGGTGGAAACACAGACGGGAAGTGGGAACACTGGAGAATCCTCAACGAAGGAAAGGCGGTCTCGCTGACACTCGGAAAAAGGCACGAAGGGATGCACGAAGGGATGCTCGGAGGAAACTCGGAGGAACACGAAGGGAACACTCGGGTGGTGGCTAGAAGTCGCCATGTAGGGCAACACTCAGGCAAAGAGTGAATGGTGAAAGCTCCTCTTATACAGGTGGTGACGACCCAAATGAATTGCAGGTGTGTAGCTCACACACCTGCAGGGAATCAGTCACTGAGAATTCC